GCGGGCGGACGTTCTCTGGCCAGGGCTGGTGGAGAGGAGAGCGGGCGGCCGCTCCGCGGAGCCCGCCGAGATTGCGAGGCCGGGGCGGGGCGGGGAAGGTGAGGCCGGCGCGAGCTCTCCAGGAAGCCCTGCAGCCCCGCCGCCGCTGGCTCGCTGTCCCCTCTCGCTTCTGAAAAGGGGAAGGGAAGGCAGGCAAGTCGGAAGGCAAAAATAGCCTTGCCCTGCGCTGAGTGCACCGCCCGTTTCCGACCCCCGCTCCAGCCTATCCCCTTTAAAAGGGAAGCGGGAAATCCACTCCAGCCCCCTATCTCTCTGCTCTCCCCCTCCCCCTCCGTCCTTTCCCCCCGGCCCCGTCTGGAATTTCCAACCCGGGACGAACTCGTCTGATTTCTCCGGTCTCCCCCGCTGCTTTTTTCCTCGCCTTTTCTCTTCCTAACAGTGCCATCCCAGCTTCTAAGCTGCACTTTCTGGAAGGCATTAGCCACATTTTAAGTATCTTTTAAGCGGACGGGGAGCGAACAAGACTGGATTTGAATTCTAACAGCTGGAAAAGATGTCTTGTTCCCTAAATGTCTTTGGTTCATCACACATTAATTCTCATGACACCATCACCACCACCACCGCCAGCCCCCACACACAAATCAACAGATCTAACCAATAAATAATTCTTCAACACACAATCTTTACACTTCAGCAAATAGCACACGTTCTCCCCATTTTCAAAACTCAACTGAACCAGATCTGCATTTTAAAATGTTTTAAGAGTGTATACGCAGCCCATCTCAACGGGATCTTTGTCAGCTAGCTGTTACACATTAAAGTTTAGAATAAATAAACTCTAAAAAAGAAGCAAATAAGCCTTCCAAGTACCCACACACATAGATTCAAATGACATAGATTAAGGTAATTTTAAAAGATTAGAAGCTCAGAACCTTTGAATCAAGATTCTTCCAATTGCTAATGCCATGTATTTCATCTCTGAAACATAATTATAAGAAAGACTGTTTTGTTTTTTTCCACCAAAAGCTGAGCCATTAAAACTTTACATTTGGAACAGCTAACTATACTTTGGATAAATTAGTGATGAGGACTGCAATTCTCCCCCTTTACCAGAAAGTTCTCCTTCTGAGAAACGATTAGGGTAAAAATTCACCTTTCTAATTTGGATCAGAAAATAAGGGGTTCTGGAAGGAAATCCATGAACTTTTCTATGGGACAGTCAAATACCATTGTCCTTAGGAAAGACTCATCTAGAAACACTGACCACCCAAATGATCCCAGTTCAAAATAAATCTAGCAGTGAAGAAAAATGAATTTATGAATTTGCAAAGTTTAATTTCTAGGTGGAAATTAAAAATAAGGGACTCAATTTTCACCTTTCCTCAAAACAGTGCAGAAAAACTTTAAGATTCAACCATTTTTTTTCACTTATGTAAAGCAAAACAAACAAAAACAAAAAACAAAACACTAAGCTATTAAACAAGAAAACCTTTTAACCAAAAGGGTCATAAATTGTTTCTACTTTAAATTACTTGTTGAATACTGCTCACATGTATCTTTCACCTTCTGGGTTATAAACTTTCTGCTTTGGGTACTAATCCATAATTACAACCATTAAAGTAAAAGTGCTTGAAAATCCTCCCCTCTGGTAGTTTTCCTTTCCTTGTTTTTTAATCCTCCTTCATTCATTTTCAGCCTCTAAATATGAGGTTTGTTGTTGTTCCATTAAATGCAAACCCATTTCTGAAGGCAAAATTTTCAACTTGTTTTGAAAACATTTAGTGATTCAATTTCTCCAGAGCCCTCACAAATCATTCCTTAAAATGTAAAATAATATTTTGCCATTTATAAGACTTCCTGTCACAGGGTTTTAAAGGTGCTCACATCAGAAAATTAAACTGCAAAAGAACTCAAGTTTGAACACTTTCTCTTTTGAGAGTTCTCATACTCATATGAATGACTAATTTGTTTAATATTTGGAAATTTAAGAGAAAGTGGTAGCCAATCTCTTTTTAAGTCAATATAGAGGAAAGAACCATTAATCTGCCTGAAGAAATCACATTTGGAACTCTAACTTGAACACATTTCAATTTTTAAAAGTATTGCATCTTTTAGTTTGTTCTTAACAGTAACACCTTTTATTTTGATAACAACATTTGACAGTAAATATATGCTATCTTTAAGTCACATTCCTCTAGAAAAAGGCACACCACAGTGGCATGTGGAACAAAGGTTTAATTCCCTTAAAAAGCAAGTCATTTCCCAAAATAAATGAGTCACACTAAGATGGCACAGCTCTGTACCTCAACTACTCTTAAGTCTCTCAGAATAAAACACATACAAACCCTTTCCACAACTGTTTTAAAAGTCCTTTTGGTCATTCTCTTTGGTCTCAATATTTGGCAGTGAATATATATATAAATTCTCAACAAGAAGCCCAAATTGTTAACTAAATTCCAACACAAGAGGGGGTTTGGGGAGGTAGTCTCAAGAGACATTTAATGTCACTCATTTCAAAAATTCAAACTAATTGCCTTTTTCAGTTTAAATGTACAGTGCTCAGTCTCTTGAGCTCTTAAGAAGGTACAAATTATATTTATAAAATAGATTCCAAATGAGAACAAAATACATTAAAATATCAAAATCAGGGCTGCAACATATCTTTTGTCTGATTCCTCCCCCACCAAAAAAAAAAAAAAAAAAAGAAAGAAAAGAAAAGGGAACATTTAGGCTGCTGGGTGTTTATTAATCTCTTAGAAATTTAAATCATAATTCATTTGGAACTGAGTGCATCAAGAGTTCTCATCTATTTTAAACAGCAAAAACACAAGTGTGTATGCATATATATATGTATATATATACACACACACACACACATATATATAATAGATATGTGCAGTTGTTCATTTTGCTTAGAATGTTAGTCATAATTAACTAGTTCCTGTTCTGCACATCCAGGAGATTGAAAAAGCCAGAAACAAACCAACTGAAGACTTTTCAGACACAGACTAAAGACACATACCACAACATGCCCCCTCAAAGAACACAAAATGATAGAGCAAACTGACTTCATGAAAACAAACTCTTTCTTTTTTAAATCCTGAGACTTCAAAAATTGATTCATTCTAGAAAAATGAAGTGCCTTCTCACCACCACCCAAAATAAAAAGAAAAGAAAACACAATTGACTCAATGTTTGGATTCAAAAATTATTTCAGGAAGGAGAACACACAAAAGATCTAATTTAATATGGGTGTGGACAGGGAAATTTTCTGCCCCCCAGTCTTCTCACAAACTCCCTCCCCATTCCAACTCAAAAAAGAGCCCTCAGTGAAGCATTTTGGAGGGAACAAGGAGCCTAGAAATGGCTTAAAAGTCAGCAGATGGCTTGGGGAAAAAAGATCCATAAATACAGGGCACCATGAAAATTAAAATATAAATGTTTTGCGTTCTACTTCATCACATTTTGCTATTTCTCTTGCTTTTCATTCCGTTCCCTTTAAAATTTAAACTATCCTCAAGAGCAAAAGAAAAAATGTTCACATATTTCGTAATTCCGCTTACTCTGGGTATTTTTCATCAGTGCTCAGCTTTCAATTTAAATATCTGTAATCTCAATAAAGCTATGGGTGTCTGTATATTTGTTTCTTAGTCTCAACTCCAGAAACTGTTTCAAAATAAGACTTCTTTTCTCCCTTCCAATTTTATTGTCTCTTTACTCCTAACTCTAATTGCCTTTCCAATAACAAGAGTATTTCAAGCAGTTGAGGCTAAATCACAAGAATCACAAGCTCTATAAATGTAGTAACAAGCCATATTGATCATCTATAGACATAATAGTTCCAAGTTGCTTAAAGAGCTCAAGCTTAACGGCCAAACAGATTTTTATCTCCCATTAAACTTTCAAGATCTTCTTAACTGCCCCCAAAAAGCAGTCACCACCCCTCACCCTCACACCCAGAAAAGGCCAGAGACCATTCCGAAAGGCAGCAAGTTTCCAGTTGAAATGGAGGGGGGAGAGATCAAAGGTGTACTTGGGGCTCCTTTCCAGCTAGCAACAAGACAGCAAACTCTGCACTGTCAACACGTTTAAAGTCTGATTTGAGAAAAGTAGGAAGGCTCTACCTTTAGACTTCCCAGCCAGAGTTCAAAGAGATTTGAAATCCACCATGAATTTTCCGGAAGCATGGTGGAGGTACCCCATTTTGCTGAAGAGAGAGAAAAGGGTATTGGAACACATGAACGTGAACACACACACACACACACACACACACACGCACACACCCATTCATCCACGGAGTTCTAGACCCTCCAAAGAGCCCCAGCTCACAGCCTCAACACAAAGCTCTCACCCCAGATGGTCCCCCTTGTAACAATGGGCTGAAGGAGTGGGGGGGGGGGCTCGAACAGGATAGTGCAGACTAGGCATATTCTTTGGAAAATCCAGTTGGGGGGGATGTGACATGTGAGGGGCCGGGGGTGGGGGTCTTTGGGGGGGAAATGTCTTTGCCTGTTGCAGAAATATAAAGAACAAGTATAAGGGAATTCTTGGGGGGGGCTCGTTCCATTTCCCCTAGGGAGTAGAAGGAGACCACCCCTAAATCCACTTAGGAAATAGGGTGTGGGAAGGGTGGGAAAAACAGAGAAAAGGAGACCTGCCAGGAAGTTGTAAAATCGCCATGAGTCTGAACTCTTCAAAGATCTTAGGCTTTTCCACAAAAACGGCCCCACACCTTGAACAAACTCCACAAAGCTTCTCCCCTATGAATTTCCCCCCCTTTAATTCTACAAGTAACATCTTTTAAGCCACCCAGCCCCAACTTAATATTTTTTTTCTTTTTACAAGCTGTAAACCACCCATAACAAGATCTTGACCAATCTTCTCTCCCTGCCCCCAACATCCGGAGTTGAGGGTGGGAAGGCCAGCAATAGGTTTCTTCCACTGGAGACGCTCTGGACGCCCCCCCAGCCTCTCAGCCCCCCAGAAAAGCTCTTTCCTACCTTTGTTTTTTGGGCACCGAATGTTCGATCTCTAGGCGTTTTCCTTGTAATTCTACTTTCCCTATAGATTAAAAAAAAAAAATTACATGAGAGTGTGAACAGGGGTCGGAGGTGGAAGGGGAAGGGGAAAGACACTGGGGTCATTCGGGAGTTCCCGGGATTCGAGTCTTCCCAGGAATCCAGACAGTGGCTCCCGCGGCCGGATGGGAAAAGGCTGTTCTGGGAATGGTGGAAGCTATAAATTCGTTATTTTAATTTTTTGTTTTGTTCTGTTTAATCACTGAGGTTTGTTGGGTGGTTCGCCCTCGACAAAGCCAGATTTGGGTAGGGTGCGAGGCCGTCTGTGCGGGCGCGTTGCCTACACGGCCCCCAGATGTGGGGGCGAAGGAGAGAAAGGGCGCCCCGACCCTCAGAAAGTAGGGGGAGGCGGTGTACAGGAGCGAAACTTTATTTTTCTGTCGGGCCAGGAAGAAGGGGTTCAGGGCGGCCCTCTGTCGGGGTTGGCTGGGAACGGAGGACCTGGGGGCGCAGAGCCGACCCGGCGGGGAGGGTCCCTCGGGCCGCCGCGCGCGCCTCGGCCCAGCCTGGCGTCTTGGAAGCAGCATGGCGACCCGCCGCCGCCGCCGCGCCACCCGCTCACGCCCCACTTTCAAATCAAAATGGCTCAAGACCCAGGCCCTGGGCGGGAGGCGGGACCCCCTTCCTCCCCAGTCCTGCGGGAGGGCTACGGTCCCCGGAAAGCGGAGAGCTCGGACACGGGGCGGGGACCCCTTCCACGCCCGGAGAGGCCTAAGGCGGAGGAGGGGGAGCCGGGGGTGCTCCGGCTGGGGGGTCCGGCGGCGCACGGGAAGGGGTTGGTCGCGGAAATAACGCCCAGTCGGGGCTCCACTCGCTGTCCCTACAATCGCTCCCCCACTACAGCCAACGGGGGCTCCCGCCCCGTCGGTGGGGGGTGGGGGGGAGGGAGCCCGGAGCTTACCTCGGGCTGAGAGGGGGAAAGAAATCCCGAGTATCTGCGCGCGGGGGGCGCGGGGCGAGGGAGGGGGGCGTCAAAGGAGGCAGGTCGGGGGTCGGCACGGAGGCTAAGCCCCGCGGGCCCGGGGGACTCGGGGGCTGGCGGCCGCGGCCAGAGGCGGCCCGGGTCCCCGTTGTTCGGGGTTTCGCGGTGGCGCGTTCGGGGAGGCGGCCGCGCTCTTACCCGAGAAAGTTTCGATGGCCTTCATCGCCCAGTGCTCGTCGGGGCAGTCCACGAAGGCGTAGCCGGACTTGACCAGGAACTGGCCGCTGTAGGAGATCTTGTGCTCCGCGAACACTTTCTCCAAGTCCGCGGGGGTCACGCTCTCGTTGAGGTTGCCGATGTAGAGCTTGTTCATGGTGACGGCGCGGGCGGGACGCGGTCCCGGGCGAGGCCGAGCGAGCCGGGCAGGCGGCGAGCCTCCTAGGCCGAGAGGCGGAAGGCCGGCGGCGGGAGCCGCAAACTTTCTTTGCACCCCACCCCTGAAGTTGTCCGGAGCCCGGGGCGGGAGGCGGCCCGAGGGCGCGCGGGGGGCGCGTGGAGTTGGGGGGCGTCCGGGGGAAGTGCCCGCGGCGCGCTGGGAGGCGGACGACGCGGCGCGGCTCTCTCCCTCCGGTCTGAACCCCTCCGAGCGGGCTGGTGTGTCACGTTTCTCCGCGGCCGCCCTGGCGCCGCCTCTAAATAAAATCGACTTGAAAAAAAATGGAGCGGAAAAAAAAAAAAAAAAAAGGCGAAGCCACGTGGTGACAGCCCCTACCCACCCTGCAGGGGAAGACCCCCGACGCCACAGGGCCCCTCGGCCCTCCGGCCAAACGCGATGCTCTCCCGCCTGGGGGTGGGGGACTCGACTCACCCCGGGGGTAAACTGGGGCGGTGGGGGGGCGTCCCTGGAGCTCTACTCGCCCCCTCCTCCTCGGCGAGAACCTGGCCCCTAGGGAAGCGCCCCGCCCCCACTCATCCCCCTACCGAACTAGGGAAGGATGGTCGCGCGCAGAATCTCCCCGGTCTTTAGGGGTAAAATGTACGGTTATTTTTCATTCATTCTGGGGGGCGGGATTGCCCACCCCACCCCGGTTAACTGCTAGCGACTGACAGGCGGGGGACGACCGAGATAGACAAAGAGAAGCCGAGGACTCTGGGGTCTTCAGGAGGGGGTCGCACGAGCTGGTGATTTCAAAAGAAAGGCGCCTTTTCCCTAGATTTTTAAATGGGGGGGGTGTCCTCGCCTTCCCCGCCCAGCCCTAGGAAAAGCTCTCTCCTCTGGGACCGGGGGAACCCTGCAAGCGCGGGACCGGACAGCCGGGAACACTGGGGGTCACGGGTGGGAACGAGGGAGCCGCAGGAAATGGTGTTTCGGGATCCCGGAGAGAGAAAGGGCGGTTCGCTCCCGGGGTCCGGCTGTTGAGTGATCACGTTTCGGGGGTCCTGGGGGAGCGCGCGGCTCTGGCCAGGGATGACCCCAGGAAAGGGAGGGTGGGAGAGGCGGAGCGGGGTGGCAGCTTGGGCGAACCCGAGCGGACCGAAGGGGGAGGTCTCGGGGAGGGAGTGCCCGGGTGGAGATCCGAACCTTCCCCTTTTCCCTCCCAGACTAGGGGGCAGACAGGTGGAGTCCTCGGCGCCCGCTCCCCCCGCGACACCCACAGCCGCCCTCTGTCCCGGAACTTT